TCAGGACCATAGGGGAGGCCGAGTCACCAGGGGGAGGAGAGCCGTCTTACAGGCACCAAGGTCAGAGTGACAGGTGACCCCTATGCTAAGGTGACCAGACGTCCCGCTTTTGGCGGGACAGTCCCCATTTCCAACAATTTGTTCCGCGGCCCGCGGCGTCTTCCCAAAAATCGGGGCTTTTTAAAACGCCGCGGGACACATTGTTGAAAATGGGGACTGTCCCGCCAAAAGCGGGATCTCTGAGAGAAAGAAGAGGTGGGAAAAGAGACGGTGAGACAGGGAAGCGGAGGACAGAGTGAGGCTGGAACGCCAGAGCAGCAGCGGGGAGTGTGGACCTGCTGAGAGCATTTCGGGCACCGTGGGTGGCTGCGGTGGGCCCTGGGGGTGAGGGAACTCGGCTGAAGGGCTGCTGTCCCTGTGGCTTGGAGGTTGGAGTGTTTCCTCGGAGTTAGAACGTGTTGCCAGCCCTTGCCTGCATCCTCCTCCTCAGCTCGGAGGACAGGGAATCTACGGAAGATGTGCCCCGTGGAGGACAGGACAGGGGCCAGGGGTGGGCATTGTGGGGTGGGCGTGCTCGGTGCCAGCACAGGAGGGAGGGTCGTGCTTCTCGGCAGAGCTGGGGTTGGGCAGAGTTCCGGGCCGGCCCTCGGCACAGTAATCCAGGAGCCGGAGAAGGCTGCGGGTGCCAGTGGCCAGAGCGAGGAGGAGCTGCCGGGAGCCGGGACCTGGTCTGCCCTGGGGCAATCGGGCCGGGGTGCGGGAGCTAGCTCTGTGATCCCCGGGGAAGGAGCATGCTTCTCGGGGTAGGTTTGTGGTCCTGAGCAGGTCGGAATCGGAGGATGGGCGAGACCCCTCATTTTTAAACCACAGTCAGTGTCGGTAAAGCAAGTGAGTTCTCACATGTGAGCTCTGTCTCAGGTGAAGCTAAACACGCTGTCTTCCTGCCTCCCGGTCACGCCTGCCTCTCCCCTTCCTCCCTGATCTCTTCCTGCCCTGCACACGTCCTCACCAGAAGTCAGCGGCTGCCCTCCCCTCCATGCCCCCCTACCCCCCCCCACCCCCATCTGCGCCCCTCCTGCCAGCTGCCGGTTTGGGCTGTGGGCTTCCTTCCCACTCTCCGCTGGGGCTCCGGGTGGAGGTTTCTGCGGAAAGCAGCCTGGTTCTCATTGCAAATGGGTCCGAGGAGGCGTCTGAGGTGGCAGCCGGGTCTCCATGCAAATGACAGTCCCTCCCTGCACTTGCCTTAGGGGTCCCAGGAGGCGCCCAGGGGCCACCCTGCTCTCCGCTGCCGCCCCGTGTGGGCCAGGGGCCCTGGCGTCCTCTCCCCGCTGCTGCTCTGGCATTCCAGCCTCACTCTGTCCTCCGCTTCCCTGTCTCACCGTCTCCTTTCCCACCTCTTCCTTCTCTCAGAGCAGAGCAAACACCGAGGAGAGCTGAATGGCATTTGATTTTGTCTCCTCTCCCTTCTTTGTGTCTTTCCTTCTCTTCCATTAAGAAACAGGCCAGTGTCTGATGATCAATGTTGACGCTGCTCGTGAGGGTTGCTGTCTTCAAACGTGGTCCTGTGTGCCCGGGGCCTGTGGGAATGGCCGGGAGGAGGTAGCATGGACCGGGAGAGCAGCGTTGTGTTCCTCTTTCCGGGGCTGGGAGGCACCGGTGGGGCTTACCAGGGGACAGTGTGGTGGGTGAGCTACAAGTCCGCAGACCCAAAGTTTGGCTTCTCTTTGCCACACATTGGTCTTAACTTTTAAAATAGGGATTAAAGCCCTGGCTGGTTTGGCTCAGTGGATAGAGCTTTGGCCTGCAGACTGAAGGGTCCCAGGTTCGATTACGGTCAGGGGCACATGCCCGGGGTTGTAGGCTCGATCCCCAGAGATCCCCAATGATTCTCTCTCATCATTGATGTTTCTCTCCTCCCTTTCTCTCTGAAATCAATAGTGTGTGTGTGTGTGTGTGTGTGTGTGTGTGTGTGTTTAAATAAATATTTATTGTTTAGATTATTACAATTGTTTCTCCTCCCCCCCATAGCTCCCCTCCACCTGGTCCTCACTCCACCCTCTGCCTTTTCCCCCCCTCCCCCCCGCTGTCGTCATCCATAAGTGTATGATTTTCGTCCAGAATCTTCCCGTACCCCCCACACAAACACCCCTTTCCCCCTGAGAATTATCAATCCCTCTCATTCTATGCCCCTGATTCTATTATATTCACCAGTTTATTCTGTTCCTCAGATTTTTAATTCACTTGACTTTTATTTTTTATTTTTTTAATGTATTTTATTGATTTTTTATAGAGAGGAAGAGAGAGGGATAGAGAGTTAGAAACATTGATGAGAGAGAATCATTGATCAGCTGCCTCTTGCACACCCCCTACTGGGAGTGTGCCTGCAACCAAGGTACATGTCCTTGACCAGTATCGAACCTGGGACCTTTCAGTCTGCAGGTTGATGCTCTATCCAAACTGGTTTCTGCTCACTTGACTTTTAGATTCACTTGTTGATAGATATATATTTGTTGTTCATAATTTTTATCTTTACTTTTTTTCTTCTTTTTCCTCTTTTTAAAGAACACTTTTTAGCATTTTATATAATACTGGTTTGGTGGTGTACTCCTTTAGCTTTTTCTGATCTGTGAAGCTTTTTATCTGCCCTTCAATTCTGAATGATAACTTTGCTGAGCAGAGTAATCTTGGTTGTAGGTTCTTGCTATTCATCACTTTGAATATTTCTTGCACCCCTGCCTGGCCTTCATAGTTTCTGTTGAGAAATCAGCTGATAATCGTATGGGTGCTCCCTTGTAGGTAACTGTTTTTCTCTTGCTGCTTGTAAGATTCTCTGTTTTTTGCTCTTGGCATTTTAATTATGATGTGTCTTGGTGTGGTCCTCTTTGGATTCCTTTTGTTTGGGGTTCTGTGCCCTTCCTGTACTTGTAAGTCTATTTCTTTCACCAGATGGAGGAAGTTTTCGGTCATTATTTCTTCAAATAGGTTTTCAGTGTCTTGCTCTCTCTCTTCTTCTGGCACCCCCATAATTCTGATGTTGGTTCGCTTAAAGTTGTCCCAGAGGCTTCTTGCACTGCCTTCAACTTTCGATTTTCTTCTCTTGCTTCTCCAGAAGAATGTCCTTTGCCTCTTTGTATTCCAAATCTTTGACTTGATTCTAGTCTGCTGTTGGGTCTCGGTATAATATTTTTTATTTCAGTCAGTGTATGTTTAATTTCTAGTTGGCTTAATTTCTTTTTTTATTATTATTTTTTTAAATTATATTATTATCTGTGTACATATACCATTGTTAATTTCTTTTTTTGTATCCTCGAGGGTTTCGATAAATTTATTGGTCTTTTCTAGGAAATTCTTAAAAAACCTTATAACCGTGGTTTTGAACTCTATATCCAGTTTTTTGTTTTCCTCCATTACTTTGGTTTGAGATCTTCCTTTTCTTATGCAAAAGCAGCTGTGTGGAGCTTGGGCGGGTTTGTAGAATGTGCGGGGTGGGGCCTCAGGGTGGGGCGGGGCCTCAGGGTGGGGCGGGGCCTCAGGGTGGGGCGGGGTCTCAGGGTGGTGTCTCAGGATGTCACTAGGCTGAGGCGTGGCAGACAGCAATGGCTGCCGTTAGCCATCTCTGCCTTTCAGCATTTCCAAGTCCCTGCACTCCAGCACAGTAAACAATGATTGCTGCATGTATCTCTGCAAAAAAGTCACCCTTGCTTTCAGACCCGATGGCCGACAGACCAGCTTCTCCCCGCAGGTGTCTGGGTCCCCCGAGTGACCCCAGAAACTGGATTTCAAAGTGATTGGGAGCTTGTTTCCCTTCGGGTCGCCCACCACCAGTCCAACTCTCATGCCTCCATACCTAGGCTTTTCAGCCTTTCAGCTTTTCAGCGCTTGTGCTCCTTTCTCTTTCAGCCAGCTTTTCCGTGGTTCTGGGTGATAGATGTTTTCTCTTTTAGTTGTAGTTTTGAAATTGTTGTGCGAGGTGGCAGATTAGTTGCTCACCTATGCTGCCATCTTGGTTTTCTCTCATATATATATATTTTTTAATAAGTAAAATGAAATAGGGATTATGGCATTTCTCACTACTACCACAATGGAGTGATTTAAGAACCCAGTGAAATAATGCATTTGTGAATGATTTGAAAAGTAGGATTCTTTATATGGGTAACTCTCTCCCAATCAAACTGTAAAACTGGACTGGCAGCGTGTGTGAATGGGCTCATAGTATTACATGACCTCCAATGAATCTTGCACCCTCCCCTCTGTTTTCCCCTGGACAGTTCTTGGCATACAGTTGGGGCTCTGACATTATTTAGGTGGATGGACAGGTGATGGGTGGTGGGATGGTGGGTGGGTGGGTGGAGGAATGGTGAGTGGAGGGATGGTGGGTGGGTGACAGCTGATGGATGGAAGATGGTGGGTGGGTGGGTGGAGGGAAGGTGGGTGAGTGGGTGGAGGGATGGTGGGTGGTGGATGGAGGGATGGTGGGTGGTGGGTGGTGGGTGGAGAGATGATGTGTGGTGGGTGGAGGGGTGGTAGGTGGTGGGTGGAGGGATGATGTGTGGTGGTGGGTGGTGGGTGGAGGGATGATGTGTGGTGGAGGGGTGATGGGTGGAGGAATGGTGGGTGGTGGGTGGAGGAAAGGTGGGTGGGTGGAGGGGTGGTGGGTGGTGGGTGGAGGGATGGTGGGTGGGTAGGTGGTGGGTGGAGGGATGATTTGTGGTGGGTGGAGGGGTGGTGGGTGGGTAGGTGGTGGGTGGAGGGGTGGTGGGTGGAGGGTGGAGGGATGTGGAGGGGTATCTAAGTGTTCCCTTGGCCTGCTCACCCCTTCCTAGTCCCGTTTCCATTTCACGCTGACACCACCGCCCTCTGTTGGCCGGCAGCAGGCTTGCGGTGCAGTGAGTGTAGCTGGGCCCTTTTCTCCCTCTCTCTCCCCAACCCCAAACTTGGGGACCTGCCTTGGCACTCGGTCACTCAGGACTGTCTTCCCTCCTCCCCCCGCCCCCCTGCAGCACGGCCAGTAACTCGAACCGCAGCTCGCCGGCCTGCTCCCCCGTCCTCCGGAAGCGGCCCCGCTCTCCCCCGCCGCAGAGCCCGGACGCGGACGCCATGGTGGAGAAGGGCTCCGACCACTCCTCCGACAAGTCGCCCTCCACGCCCGAGCAGGGCGTGCAGCGCAGCTGCTCCTCGCAGTCCGGCCGCAGCGGCGGCGGCAAGAACTCCAAGGTGAGGGGCCTGTCTGTGTGGAGGGCGGTGAGGGGTCGCCTGACTGAGGGACCAGGGACCAGGCCCGGGGGCCCAGATGGCCGGGCTCAGTGCGGGGCGGCAGGGAGGCCTCCTCACGTTCCTTCCCCCGCTGGGCGCTCAGTGAGGATGGAGCTGGGCTTCACCCGCCCGGAGGCTTGGAAGGGCCCGGGAATCAGGACAGGTCTGTCTTTTCTCTTTTTTAAATTTGAGAGAGAGAGAGAGAGAGAGAGAGAGAGAGAGAGAGAGAGAGAGAGAGAAGCATCCACGATGAGAGAGAATCACTGACCGGCTGCCTCCTGCATGCCCCACCCTGGGGATGGAGCTGCAGCCCGCAGGAGCCCTGACAGGACCTGAACCCTGGCCTCCTGGTTCATGGGTTGGCGCCATGCTGCTTTCGCCTCCGCCCCGGCCTCACGTGGCCTCCCTTCGGTGACACCGTGTGGTGCTCACCTGTCCGGGATGGGACAGGGCCCGCCCTCCCTCCCAGGTGTGGCACCGCCTGTGCCTGCGGACGGCGTGGGAGCCGGGCCTGGGCTGCTGAGGGCCGCGTCCCTGCCCAGCCCCGGGGAGAGGAGCTGCTGGGCCCGGGGGGCTGGGGTCCGGGAGGCACGGGAACTGCCTTGGCCGGAACCTGCCTTTTGACTTCTCGTTCTTCCTCTCCCCTCGCCGCACCCCTTCTCCGCACGCACAGCCTCAGTCTCACAGGCGCCTCTCAAAAGTAAGGCTCCCGTCCGTGTGGCTCCTCTGCCCCTGTCTGTAGTGCTCTGCCCCGCCCCCCGGCCCTGTCTGCTTGTCCCTCTCCTGGAGGCCCGCCCGCCCGCTGCAGGGCCACTGCCTGCCGGTACCCGGTGCCAGGGGCCAGGGCCGGCCCCCTGCACCCGGAGCCCCGGAGCCCCGCCCCCCCATGTCTCTGCCTGCTCCCCAACGCTGCCTGGGGCTGGGACCTGCCTCCCTGACGCCGGCTGGAAGCAGAGTCCTTGGGGAGGGGGCTCGGTCCAACCCCCGGGGCTGCTTTGGTGGGTGATGCCTGGTCCCTGGGGAGCCAGCGGAGGGTCCCGGGTCCCACAGAGGAGTTCCGGGGGCTGGAGAGTGACTCCCCCTCTGCCTCCTACGGGGAGTCTCCACCTGAGCACCACCCACCCACCTCCACACTCAGGTTCCCGGGAGGCGAGGACGGGGACCTGCTCCCCGCCGCCTGGCCGCCCCGGGCTCTGCAGGCCGGAGGGAGGCGCCCGAGTCCGCGCAGCCTGACCTCCGAGGCCGAGGACGTGGGCGCAGGGAGGGGAGCGGCGGGGTTAGGATGTCAGGGCTGGGGGCACACTGTGGGGAAGGGGTGGATAGAGCCTGAGGCAGAGAAAGCCAGGCTGGCGGTCGTGGCCTGGAGCTCTGTCGGGATTGGGGAGGGGACAGCCGCTGTCCTCGTCCTGCAGTGCGTCCTGCGGGCTGAGAGCCGCCTGGTTCCGGCTGTTCCTGGCGGCCATGGGCTGTGGGCCGTGGGCTGTGGGCCGTGGGCGGTGGGCCATGGGCGGTGGGCCATGGGCGGTGGGCCGTGGGCCGTGGGCGGTGGGCCGTGGGCCGTGGGCCGTGGGCCGTGGGCGGTGGGCCGTGGGCCGTGGGCTGCGGGCCGTGGGCGGTGGGCCGTGGGCCGTGGGCCGTGGGCCGTGGGCCGTGGGCTGCAGGCCGTGGGCCGTGGGCCGTGGGCCGTGGGCCGTGGGCTGCGGGCCGTGGGCCGTGGGCCGTGGGCCGTGGGCCGTGGGCCGTGGGCTGTGGGCCGTGGGCCGTGGGCTGTGGGCCGTGGGCCGTGGGCTGCAGGCCGTGGGCCGTGGGCCGTGGGCTGCGGGCTGGACGGGAAGAAGGCCCGGAGGGAGGGGGCAGGGGGCCGGGAATGGGGCAGGCTTGTCTGGCCACAGGGTTTGAGGTGGCGCTGTCCCCGCTCCCGAGCACCGAGCGCCTCTGGCAGGAGAGGACGGCGGGTGCCGGTGTGGGCATCTGCGGCTCCATCTCTGTTCGCCCTCAGCCTTGGCACCCGTTTCCCCCGGGGGTGCAGCTCTCCGCTTCCAGACCCTCTCGCCCTGCACCCAGCGGGGTGCCTGCCGGTGTCCGTAACCAGGGCACTTCGGGGCCCTCATCACCTGGCGGGCGAGGGGAGCGCCCGGAGTGCGGGGTCCTGAGAGGGTCCAGGGGGAGGAGTGGGCGCCAGGCTCCCGACGGGCAGAACACAGTCCGAGGGGAGGTCAGACGCCACGACTGCTTGCGGCCACACCGAGGTGGCCCGGGAGGAGGATGCCCCTGAACCAGAGGCAGGAGACCCTGTGTGCGAGGGGGAGCCGGCCCCTGGGCTTCTGGAGGGGCCTCGAGGGGCCCGCTGAGCAGGAACGGAGTGCCGGTCCGGGCCCTTTAGCGGGCCACAGGGGAGGGACGGGATGCAGAGCTGGCGGCGGCAGCGCTGGCCCCGTGGGCACTCGGATTCCGGCTTTGATAGCCGCCTCCCCACCGACCTCTCTCACCTTTACCACCAGCGCCACCAGCGCCACCAGCACCACCAGCCTCTAGTGGTTAGAATCAGACTGACTCGCGGCGGGAGTGCCCACCGCAGTGGCAAGCAGCGGGCGCTCAGGGACATGCCACCTGGTCTGGATGGGAACCCGGTTCTGCTCAGGGCAGTGCGTGGAGCAGAGAGTGCGAAGGAGCTGCAGAGGTGGGGTGGGTGGAGAGCGGGGGAGACAGGCCCCTCGGGGGCTGGCTCTCCGGTGGACAGATGTGGCCATGGCCAGGGACCCGGCAGCCAGAGCTATTGCCGCTGCCTCCCCAGCCAGCCCCATGCCCGGCCCTCAGCTCCTCCTGGAGAGGTGACCTGGTGCTCAGGCAGGCCTGAGAGTGCTCCAGGAGCCGGGCCTTGTGGGGGCCAGTCCTCCTTCCCGCGCCTCCAGTACTCCCTGCCCATGTCAGTGCAGGGGCCGGACCTGCTGGTCAGCAGTGTCCCTCTCTAGGTCTGTCTTACATGTGAGGCCGGCGGGGCAGCACTGACCGGCGGCAGGCGGCAGTGCATGTGCACGCCCCAGCGCCCTGAGCTCCTGCTGTCTCCAGCTTCTGCGCTGTCATGCTGGCTCGGGGCCACGAGGAGGCGCCTGCAGCGTTCCGCGCCTCTGGCTTCCTGGCCTGGGGGGCCCTCCCTGCACGGGCCTGTCAGCAGCCCGTCTCTAGGCTCCTTTCCCGCTTTTCATTCCTCCTGCTGTGGTTCCGTTGCAGGGGGACAGACAACCTGGTCACAGTGAGAACGTGTCAGTTCTTGCTCCTGTTAGAGTAATGACGCCCTGGCCCGCGGCTGCCCTCGCCCACAGCCAGGCCCAGCCCGGCCCAGCCCGGGAGAGTCTCAGACCGCGGCTGTCTGCAGGCCCTTGGACGCCCCAGGCGCCGGCTCTCCAGGCCCCTGGGCGGCTGCGCGTGGGCCCCGTGGCTCCCGGCAGCTCTGTCTTGGGTACCTTTCCTGACCCTCTTCCCCTCTGCCAACCCCACGGCAAAAAGCCTCCACACTTGGTGGCTCCGGCCCCGGCCTCTGCCCAAGATGGGCATTTCCGTGAGCCCGGGCGGCCTCCTCCTGCCCAGGCCCCTGTGGCCTCCCTGCGCCTCGGGCTGGGCCACCCTCCGGGCTTCGGGTCAGGGGCAGGTCAGAGTCCGGGACTCCTGCCCAGGGTGCTCAGGGGCTCCGTGGGGGAGGCATGGGGTGGGCCCGTGTCCCCGGGCGCCTCAGTGGGCGGGAGAAGCTGCTCGGAAGCAGCCGATCGGGGGTCGCTCACGCTGAGAGACGAGGCAAAGCTGAGAGATGTACCTGCTTTTGATGGCACATCTCACACGTTCCTGCGGAGAGCACGTCCCTCACTCCCTTCACAGAGCAGACGTCCCCTCCAGGGTCACGCGGGCAGCGCCGAAGCGGGTCCCCGGCTGCGGTGCAGGCCTCGGGGGATCTTTGTTGTAAAGGCTCAGGAAGGACGTGCGTTGGGTGGCAGCACAGGAAGAGAAGGTTGTCCTGCCCCATCCCCTGAGGAGGAGGAACGCACAGCAGCAGCCGGAGGGGTGCCGGTGCCCACCCGGCCCGCGTCCCTGCTGCCCCCTCCCAGGTCTTACACGCAGGCCGGGACCGGATGGTGCTCTGGACCGAGGGGCAGGGGTCTGTGACCTGGCTTAGGCCAGATGAAATGCAGGCAAACCATTGGGCCATCGGGCTGCAGGCCTCCACGGCTGGGACGTGTATTTCACTGCGGATCTGCCCGCCTCCGCCTGGGACCAGTCAGGACCAGGACTCCACGGCCCAGCGCCGACACGCTCACAGGCTGACGTGCCACCCAGGGCCAGGGCTCCCGCGGGGCAGCACGTCGCTCCGTGAGGGCCGTTGGCTCCGGTGTTCGGATTTGGCTCCTCCCCTGCCAGGGCCTCTGGATTGGAGGAGGAGAGGAGGCCACGGGGGAGTCTGACTTCCCGATGGGCCCTGGGGACAAGCGTCCTGCGAGGGGTGAGGGCCGGCCTTGCCCCTGCTCCTCGGGCCACTGGGTCAGGCGTGAGGCTGCAGCACCGCGTCAGGGGAGCACCGCCCGCCGTCCCCTGCTCCCCTGCCCCCGTCCCCCTGTCGGAGAGGAGGCTGAGAGTCCCCGCAGACTCTTCCGGTGGGAGAGCTGGTGGCCGCAGGAGGCCACATGACCCTGCTTTTCTCGCCGCTCCCCGCTCTTAGGAGGGGCCCCTTAAGACCCGGGAGGGGGACAGAGGCTCATCGTGTGCCAGGTCCGGCCTCTGTGTGAGATGCAGGCCGCCCCCACCCCGGGGCCCTCCCCTTGGGTGAGCTTTCTGAACCTGGAAGCACTGCAGCACGGGTCCCAGCCCGGGCTCCGCCTCGGAGGAGAGGCCCAGCAGGGGCAGGCACGTGTGCGTGTGTTCTCTGCCGTCTGCCCGGTGGGGCGTGCGTGATGGAGCCCAAGCCTTCGAGCTCAGAGGCAGACAGGGAGGGCGAGCCCCGAGGCTGGGCTGGGCCCGGAGAGCGCCTGCACCCGGAGCTGGCGCGGGACTGGGCTCGGTGGGGTTGAGTGATGGCCCCTGAGGTTGGGAGGGTAGCGGGGGCGTGCTCCTCCCGCACCACCAAGGCCCTGCCCGCTGCGGAGCGGGAGCGGAACGGAAGGGCCTCATCTGCGCGCCCACGACGTGGTGGGAAGGAGCTCCGGGGCGGCCCCTGCGTCCCCTGCACGGAAGCACCTGTCTGCCCGCAGGCGCTGGCTCCACCCGCTCCGCTTTGGCCAGGCCCTGGGGACCAGTCGGATGCCTGCGCATCCCTTCCCCATCAGAGCCTGTGATGGGGTCCGACTCCCCGGAGGAGGTCTGGCTGGTGCTGCCGCTGCCTGCCCCGCGGAGCCGCCAGCATGGGCTGCCCCAGGAGGCCCTCCTGCAGCCACGGGCCTGCAGCTGAGCGGGTCCCGCCCTGCCCGCCGCGCTGCTGTCTGTAGCCTGCCCTCTGCAGCCGGAAACGCCCACGCTGTGCCCGCCCCCTCCCCCGGCTAACGTGCTTCTCTTCTCTTTTGTCCTTTCAGAAAAGCCAGAGCTGGTATAATGTAAGTACCTGCTTCCCTCTTTCCGGTGCACGTGGGGCGGGGGACGTGGGTGTGGGTGTGGGTGTGGGCGTGGGCGTGGCCGTGGCCGTGGCTGGGGACGTGGCTGGGGACGTGGCTGGGGATGGAGATGGCGTAGAGAGCAGTGGGGGCCTGAGGCCTGCAGCACGCTGAGGGGCCGGGAGGTGAGCCTCCTCCCGGAGCAGCCTCCACCGGCCCAGCTGCAGTGGCCTCAGGGATCGGGTCGGGCAGGGCTGTTGGGAGGGGAGGGACCACGGAGTGTGGACGCCCGGTCCTTCCCCAGCCGCCTGGGCAAGGCTCCCCGGGATTACTGGCGGAGACCAGCCAGGAGACGAGCGGACTGCTGGGGTCAGAATGCAGGGCCATGGGGTTGGGGAAAATGCAGCCAGAACAGCCCCCAGTGGTCAAGAGACTGGCGTGAAAGGGTTTACCACCACCACCCCCTTCCGCACTCCCCCCCGGGGTGTACCCCCGAAGCCCCAGGGTGTGCCCTTCCAGAAGTCATCCATCCTGCTGGGAGCTGGGGTGCAGGTGCCGCCTGAGTGTCCGTGGGTGCTCACCAGCTGCTCATACCCAGAAGCTGGGAGCACAGGTGCCCTGCAAAGGCCACGGCCCCAGGCATGTGGACGGGCACGTGGATGGGCTGAGGGGCCCCGGCTGGTCTCAGCGGGCCTCGGGCTGTGCTCCACCCTGGGCTGCCCAGGCAGCTTGGCGGCTGCAACCACAGCCTGGCCTGCCTGGCTCAGTCGCCTCTGTCGACAACCCTGCCGTTCCCACACCTGGCCTGCGGTCCCTCCCTGGTCCTACCCCGCTCTGTCCCTCCCTGGTCCCCACTCCGATTGTTGGGCAGCTGAGGGGCCGGAGAAGGTGTGGGGCAGGTGGCTGCGGATGCCAGAAGTGGGGACTCACTGTGAGGGGCTGGGGAGGACGGGTGGAGCATAGGCGTGGGGTTAAGGTGGGGCCTGTGTGCAGGGAGGAGGGAGATGCTCTCAGCAGCTCGGTGACCCTATGGCAGGCATGTGTCGGGAGCCTGGCTGCGGGCCTGCTGTGCGCAAGGCCTGCCATCCCGGGCGGCTGCACAGATTGGTACCAGCCCCGCTCACCCACCCGGCGCCAAGGGGCAGATGTGGGGCCGGCTGTGGGACAAGCAGCTTGATCCCATCATTCCCACCCTGCGCCTCGGACCCGCACCCCTCCCTGCTCGGATCCAGTCCTGAGGAGAGGGCGCTCCTGAGCGCAGAGGTGGGAGGGCGCTCTCTGGGGCTGAGCGGACGTCAGCATCCTCCTCCTCCGCTCCATGTTACCTCCCAAGGGAGCAGGAACTGGCCGGGTGGCTGCAGACCTGGCCTGCAGGTCCTCCTCCTGTTACTCTGCTCTCCCCTCTCCGCTCCTTGCTTTTCAGTCAGCTTCTGTTTCCTCTCCCTTTCCCGCTGACCCCTCCCCACCTGTTCTACCCCCTCCCCCAACTCCCCACCTCCTGGCGGCCTGAGCTCTCTGCCCCGCGGGCTTTACTGGACCCTGCCCTCTGGCTCGCCTGTTTCTCCCCCTCAGCCACCCTGAGGCTGGCGGGAGCGCCCGCCCGCAGGGGCAGCTGAGTGCCTGTCCCTCTGGGCCGGGAGACCCCGTGGCAGAGTGAGAGGCGGCAGCGGGCGGGGCTGGAGCTGGAGCCTGCATCCCAAAGCCTGCACCCCTCCTTACAGAACCGTCCGGGTACCGGTTCCCAGGCCTCTCCCTCTGTTAACCCTCCGCATCTCCTTTCACCCTGCACCCTGCTCTCTCCCCGCCCCCCCTTCCCCCCCCGTAAATGACAGACTCATGGTGGATCTCCATCCATCATCCATCGTCCGCCCAGAGGCCCCGTGCACAGGGACACTGGCCCGGGGCAGCGGCCCGCTTCTGCCTCCCTCCTCAGGCTGCCCCAGGAGTCCTTCCCGGTTCTCAGTGGGCAGATGTCCTGGGCCATCCCTGACGTCCTCCTGCTGCTCTTCCTCCGGCCGCTAGAGGGCACCAGGCAGATGTGCCCCGGGGAGTGCTGCTGAACTCCCCGCAGAGTGGGCCGGAGCCAGGGGAGGCCTTGGAGGAGGGAGGTGGCGGAGGGAGGCCAGGAGGGAGGCCAGGAGGGAGGCCAGGAGGGATAGCAGGGAGACGCGGGGAGGCAGGCAGAAGCTGGGAGACGGGGACCTCCCTCTGGCTGCTGGCCGAGCCGCGGGCGCCGGGAGCTGTGTCTAGCGTAGCTTTGTTTTCCATGTTTCACATCTAAAGAGTGATCAGCAGCGGCCACAGTGAGGAGAGCCCCGGAGGCTGGCTTCAAGTAACCCCAGGACCCTCCCGCCCTCCCGCCACGGAAGCCCTGCCCCTTCCTAACGGAGACCAAGGCTCTGGCTGGGCTTGCCCACTTGGGGTTCGGGCTGCAGAGCAGGCATCACCCCACACACCCCACCGGGCTGCTCCCTGGCGTGACTGCCTGGTGTGGCCAGGAAGCTCCGACCTGGCTGTTCCCAGAGCGGCCGGCATCCCTGCGCCTGCGTGCCCACCTCCCAGCACACCCCTCGGCGGTCATCCCCGAGCTCGCGTGGTGCAGCATGTGTCTGTGCGCCGTTGGCAAGCCCCCGCCGGACGCTCCAGCAGCCCGCGCCCCCCGCTGCAGAGCCTGCCAGTCATCCAGTCACAGTGTGCAGGCCCTTGCCCTGCCTGTGGCTTTGACCTGGTCCTGTTTCCCCTTGGTCTGCTCGGCCCTCCTCACAGCCTCTGGGTTGCCCGATGCTGGGCTCTGACCTCTGACCTCTGGGAAGGACAGGCCTCTTTACAATATCCCTGGCCCCACAATGCGCCACCTGAGGCCCGTCCTGCACCCAGCAGAGGCTCTGCATTCCCCTCCAGGGACAGACACACTGGCTGGGTCAAGGATAGACAGACATGCTGGCCAGGTCCAGGACAGACAGACAGACTGGCCAGGTCCAGGACAGACAGACAGGCCGGCTGGGTCCAGGACAGACAGACAGGCCGGCCGGGTCCAGGACAGACAGACAGGCCGGCCGGGTCTAGGACAGACAGACAGGCTGGCCGGGTCCAGGACAGAAAGGCTGGCCATGTCCAGGACAGACAGACAGTCCAGCCGTGTCAGGACAGACAGACAGGTTGGCCGGGTCCAGGACAGAGACAGGCTGGCCAGATCCAAGACAGACAGACAGGCTGGCCAGGTCCAGGACAGACAGGCTGGCAGGGTCCAGGACAGACAGACAGGCTGGCCAGGTACAGGACAGGCAAGACAGGCTGGCCGGGTCCAGGACAGACAGACAGGCCGGCCGGGTCCAGAATAGACAGGCTGGCAGGGTCCAGGACAGACAGACAGGCTGGCCAGATCCAGGACAGACAGACAGGTGGGCCGGGTCCAGGACAGACAGACAAGCCGGCCGGGTCCAGGACAGTGGGCGTCACGCAGGCTGCTGACCGTCGTGGGGACGTCTTAGGCCCGCGAGACGTGGGTCTGATGTGAGATGCACCCAGCACCCTGCCCACCCCGCAGCGCCTTCCTTGTCTATCTGTCTCCTGCATTTTGCTTTGTCTATTTAGCCACGATGACAAGGCCCCTCGGCCTGCAGAGCGGACCCCGAGCGGAAGTGGCTGGGCCCAGGGCCCGTGGGAAGGCTGAGGGTGACAGCGGCTTTTCCCCAGCAGGCTGTTCCAGTCTGGCGGGAGGTGGAAGGTCATCCGTCCACGACTGTCCCTGGTCCCTCCGGGGCTGGTGACATCTAACCCCCCACCTGACCATCAGTTTTACTCACCGAGGCCCAGTGTGGGAGTCGCAGCCTGTAACCCTGAGACGGGGAGGCAGAAGCAGGCATGTGCTCAGGGTCGGAGGGCAGAGGCGGCGGCTGCCCCTGGGGCAGCCCGGCGGGTGCAGTGGGCACAGGGAGGGTGACGGGTCCCTGTGCCTCAGGTGGCAGAGTGCTGTCCTCGGCTGCCTCGCCTCTCCCCTGGGGCCAGCCCCCTCCAGGCAGCCCACCACCCACCAAAGGAGCATGTGAGGCCCGAGAACAGCCCAGACGCTGCCCGCTGCCCCAGACTCAGAGCCCTTGCCTGGAACTCTGGTTAGCGTCACAGCTGGCTCTTGGGTGGTGAGAAGGGACAGTGCCCATCCAGGGAAGGCCAGGCATGTCCGGCAGGTAGGAGACAGAGCGAACGATGAAGTGTGCTGGGGTCGGGGAGGCAGTAGGTGGGGGCACAGGAAGGCAGCGCTGTTACCCCTTGGGGCTGACTGCTCACCCATCCCTCTGCTCTCCTCAGCCTCCCTCCCTCCCCACCCGCACATCCCAGAGACTCTCCCACCACCGCCCACCTGCATCACATCTGCCTTTATTCCTCATCAGTCAGACCATCTCCTTGTCTGGCCTCTGGCTCCTCCCTGCCTGCCCCTCCAGGACTGAGCTGGAGGCCAGGTTTCCTTGAGGGTGAGGGACTAGTTTCTTCCTAACAAGGCCAGTCCTCCCCCAAGTCCACCTGTTCCCCTGTGTTCCTCCCACCTTCCTCCCCGCTGTCCCCCGGAGGGCTGTCCCCCGGAGGCCGTACCACTCGGTCCCAGCTCCCAGTGTTTGCCTGGAGTTAATGTTTGGCCAGTTCCCTCCCCCCGGACCCGGAACTCTGCCTCCCAGGCGGCAGGCTGGCTTCGGGGTGTGGGCACCCGGGGCCCACACAGGACCGCACCTCCCGCCCCAGTCTCCTGCGCGGCCCCACCTGCTCGTCCCCACCCAGGCCCACAGCCGCCTCCACGCTTGGCCCTCAGCGATAGCCATGTGCTTGCAGGGAGTCCCGTGAGCCCGACCCTGTGGGCTGGCTCTGGGGCTGGGACGGAGGCGAGGACATGGATTGCTGAGTCCCCTGTGGCTGCTGAGGACCGGCTGGCAGGGCACCGGGCAGCTCAGACACGGGGCTGGGAGGCTGTGGCGGGCTGAGCCCAGCACACCGCGTAGAACTGGGGGCTG